AGTCCATCAGCTCTAGGAACACCTTCAGTCAGCGACAACGAAGGAGCAAATATAACAATAACCCACCAAGATATCCCAGGAGTCAGTTGCAGCTTTCAGCGAAAGTGGATCGCGAAAGACCAAGCGGGCAACAGCGCGTCTAGGATCCAGGTCATCAATCTAAATAACCCCAGTCCCCCGACCGTGAGTTATCATGCGAATGCAACCATTGCGTGTGGAAGCTTTGAGGAACAACAGCAAGACATGCGCGATGCAATCAACGTCACTCACCCGTGCGATCGACCAATTACGATAACGCACGTCGATTCCGTGCCCACTATCCTCTGCGCTACTAGTTTCACGAGAACATGGACAATTGCTGACGACTGTGGGAGACAGGTGTCCGTTCACCAGAAAATCCGAATTTTAGCGCTTCAATTGCCGGACTATCCCAAGAATGGACAAGTTAATGTAGCGCTGAGAGAATCTCTTCGGTGGCCGCAGTATCCAGGCTCTGTTCGATACAATGTCTACTTTTGGCGGTACGGCTTAACAAAGCCATCATCGCCGACTGCTTGGTATGTTTGATTAATCAGTATAGAGCTTAGGAATACTCGTCAGTTTCAGTCGCGCACACCAACTGAAAGCTTATGTTCTTACTATTGACAAGTTTTCTTGCCCGCCAATGAGTTGAAAAGCACGCATTTTAGCAATTGACGATTTTGGTTTAAATGTCGACAAAAGACGTCTAAAAACCGTCTATGCTTTAGCTCCCTAATAAGATTCAGGATAGATATTTGATAATTGCAGTCTTGTCCAGTTCTCTTTGGTTTGTAAAATATTTGTAATCATTTCAGGCGTTTAAAATCAGCCTTTAGATGTACACTTCAGTCAGTTTACACGATTATGTTAAACGTTTGACTCTAAATTTTAAGATAGAACTTTTTAGACGTGTCTTTATGATTTGAAAAAGTGTAAGAATTTTATAATGGATAATTATGTGGCTAGCCTTACATACGTATGTTTCATCCCTGCCAAGGGACTCATCAGAGACCTTTCGGCTAACTCGTGAAACATCGCGTTTGTTTGAAAATGTGTAAGAATAATTCAACAACTTGAAAGTTGTTGAATTGGCAGATTACGCAATTGGGGATCCTTATGTGATATAAGGCCAGATTGCTAGCGGGACTTCAAACGCGATGTTTGACGAGTTAGCTGAAAGGTCTCTGATGAGTCCCTTGGCAGGGATGAGACATACGTATGTAAGGCTAGCCACATAATTATCCATCGTAAAAGCCTTTATAATTACCTTTTAATCTTTGTGTTTTAGTTTCTATTTTCTCTCAGTGGGACTCTCTTTGTCTTTCTCGTATGTGACGTTTGTGAATTTTTTATACATTATCATTTTCACTTTATATGTCTACAGTCGGACCTCCCGTAAGCGTTTACGGGAGGTGGTCGCTTACGAGAGCTTAGACCATATTGGCTCGAAATTTTGCCTCCTTAGTATATGGTAATTTCAAGACATTTAAGGTCGTCCTTTTAAGACTGACCAGAGTACAGTGTATGTGTAGTTTTTCTTTAAATTTAATTTTAAATGTTTTATTCATGTGAATTGTGAAAAGTCCATTTCGAGAGAAAATCCGATACTTCTCGTTGAGAAATTTCCGTCTCTTGTACTACCCAGGATTGCGATGTTACAACACTTTATTATTCAGTTTACACTCTATTATCCGTCAAGTGGTCGCTTTACAAACAAAAGAAAATTTCAAACTTTTAGCTCTTAAAGTGGTTGCGGTCACTTAGGAAACTGCGTGGTCGCTTACAAGAGGTTTCAAATATAGCTTGGAAACTTTTAGTACTTTAGAAAACTGGTCGCTGAGGAGAGGTGGTCGCTTACGAGAGGTGGTAGCAACCGGAGCTTCCACTTTATCTCAGTTTTATCCTTGTAATACTTAACTGATCAACATGTTTTTAAATTTTAATGGAATTAATTATTAATTATCATTTTCAGGACTTATTATCGAAGATACTCTCCCTACTCCGGCTACCCAGCGGATACCCGGATGCTGTGGAGAATTGAATACGTGCTCAGCTCAGGAGCATTAATACCCAGTCCCATCTGGGGATTCCAAACTCGGGCCTTCCCGGATTTCAAAGTAGAAAAGGTCCTGGTTCCACCAAACGCCTTCTCCGGTCTAACGTTTGAAGTGTCGTGGATCGTTAGGAATATTGGCAAGGTGGGAAATGCATTGGTCACGTGGTACGACTCAGTGTATATAGGAAAGAGCACAGATTTTAACTCCGCAAGGTTTGTTTTGAAAATAGAATTGATTGTTTTTAAATATAGCAACGTTTGGATTACTGTGGATGGTAGGAATTATTTCTCATATTATTTCTAAATGACTGTATTGAATTATTTCCAAGAGCAGGACCGGAAACTTAAGGTTTTTATCGCTGGAAAGTCGGCGAGTCCATAAACATCAATGTTAAGAACGAGCAATTTGATTTTGTTTAAGTCTAATCCAGTTACTGAAAACATTTGATGCGCTTTCGGAGTGAAAGCGCCGTTTTCAAATTTCTCCGGCGTAGTGTGGATGGGGACTTGCATGTGATTTTGGTAGGAAAAAAGAACATGATGTGTGTCTTCCTTTTAGAGACTAAACCTATTTATTTTTACCAGGTTCGCAACAACTGTGCCACACAGAGAGATTCTCTTTCAAAATGATGGCTATACTGCTAAGGGAACAGTTCAACTTCGAGTAAACGAGTTCGGCGTGTTTTATGTTTTCGTAGACATCGACAGGTACAACAGGGTAAGTGTTTATTAAAATCCTCCTCATTTTCGTGAAACTCGTAACTAAGAGGAGTGCGTAACGTTTTCGTTGTTTTGCAGATAAGTGATATCGACCGTTCTAATGACATGCTGTTAGCTGACAGTCCGGTTCAAGTGTCCCTCACCCCGCCTCCGAATCTCAAAATCGAGAAGATTGTGTTTCCGAGTCCGTCTTTCTCAGGTGAGGAACTAAATTTAATGCCGGTAGCCCTACCGCTAATCCGTCGTTGAAAATTTGGAGCGTCATGGGATAAGTTAGGGAGGCTGAAACAATGTGCTTTCTTTAACACCTACCAAATACGCGTATATCATATCCAAACAACAACAAAATATTGCATGTTTTTATGACCTGAGAAATTCCCCACGTCTATAGTAGGTTCACGTTTCATTTCGATCCTCGCAAAATAAATCTCACAACAAAACGATATCGGTCCCCTATCAAAAACAACAACAGCAAAAAAAAAAAGCAAATAAATAACGATAATGACAGAGAGAAGTGTAAGGAAACTGGAAAATTTCCTCTACCACATCAATTTTTCGAAATAACGAGAACCTTCTGTAGCTTTATCTTGTACTTTGGCTTTTCCAAAGGCAAATCGGTGAACATAACCTGGACCGTAAAGAACTATGGGATGGGTGTGACTGCGCATGATTTCTGGTACGACAGGGTGTGCCTGTCCCAGGATGACAAGCAAGGTTGGTATTTATCTGAAGATATCTACAACATACAGCTAAAATAAATACTAAATGCATTAGAAATGATAGATTTCGGTAGTTTGAGTTTTCACAAGAACCCATTCTTTAAACTAAATTATTTTTTGACAGAGATGTCAATTAATGACAATTAATGTGTGCGTATGCGAAAATAAGAACTGGTATTGAGAGTAGAAATGCTTAATTAAGCTGCTCAATTCTTCTCAAGTGCATAACATTTCGACTCAGCAGCGGCCATAAGCACACGATATCAATTGTTACATTTCTAAGCTGTCGATTGAAGACATTGAAATAAAAACATTTCCACATCTCAAGAAAGAACAAAGCACAAGCTAGACTTTTTTTGAAAACTAAATTACTGGAGGTTTCTGTAAGACGAACAATTACGATGACTGCAGACTTATTACCTGTTTACGAATATCGGTATGTTGTCATTTTGTTGTTATTTTTCGTTGATCTGGAAATCTAGAAAAAGACCTGATGTCAGACTAGAGAGATCTACAGTAGAATGAATTAACAAATCTTGTTTTCATCTGGTTAGACTGGTCTGACTGGCGTCTTGGTACGTTTTACCATCATGGCCTGCTGGCAGTTGGTGCAAGCTACACCCGAATGCAACGCCTCACGCTACCTAACGCAATCTTCGGTAATTTCTCCATCTTGGTAATAACAGACCTTTATAACGATGTCTACGAGCATAATGACGAGGACGACAATCTTAAAGCGCAGGTAATTTTATCAACAACGTTTGAAGTTTTCCTCGGCTTTGCCAAGCCCGCTTTCTGTTCTTTTAGATAAAAACTGAGGGTGTAATTAATACTTTAAATAACAAATGCCCCTCCAAGTGAAAAACTAGCAGGAGGTCTTTTGGAGTGGAGTTGTGTAATGTCGCAAACAGCTACCGAATGTTAATCCCTCTTTACATACGATAACCCATTCCTGCTTGCCTGCCTACCTGCCTGCCTGCCTGCCTGCCTGACTGACTGACTGACTGACTGTCTGGTTGGCTGGCTGGCTGGCTGACTGGCTGCCTGCCTGCCTGACTGACTGCCTGGATAACTGGCTGGCTGCCTGTCTGCCTACCTGCCTTACCGCCTGTCTGTCTGTCTGTCTGTCTGTCTGTCTAGCTGGCTGGCTGCCTGCTTGCCTGCCTGTCTGACTGTCTTGCCGGCTGGCTGCCTGTCTCCCTACCTCCCTGCCTGCCTGCCTGACTGCCTGACTGTCTGACTGCCTGGCTGCCTGGGCTTCCTGGCTGCCTACTTGCTTACTGGCTTACTTGCTTGCTAACTTTGCTAAAATTGCGGTAACGGCCACCCTATTAGAAAGTTAAGGTCACCTCTCCACAATAGTGTCGACCATTAGTCCAGTTCTGGCCTTCTCTATGTCACGCAACACTATCGTAACGTTGCTTGACGGAGATAGGGCCAGAAGTGGACTATTTTGACTGGGGATAGCAGCTGTATTTCAGGTAACGTCATTTCTCCCTTTTTTAGTGCAAATAATGCTATTGTGACTGTGTATCTTCTGGAATCACCCTTAGCTCGATTCAAGAAATTTCGTCTGCTGTACTATTGTGTGTTTGCCAAGGTTCAAATAAAGAATGCTTCCCCTTAGCGGCTTGTTTATTTCCTCATCTATGAAGGGAGCAAAACTTTCATATTCAGCCGAAACTTTCCTGCGTTAGTTACATGTAAACCTAGTAAATTTGTGACACAAGAAACTCGCAATTGCTGGTTTTCAGTGTCACGCCATTCAAAATAGATCAAAATAAAAATCAAAACCGTTCAATAGATGAAGTCCAGAATCTGGGAAAAGAAAGAAGGTAAATATGCAAAGACCCTCGCCAAGATTCAGGTCACAGCAATTTTTCTTAAGCAAGATATGCGGAGAAATTTTTTACCCAAATTTATAGAGATTTGTATGGAGACGCCATGTTGGTGCCCATCCAG